ACATACTAAACTCCTTAATGAAACCCCACTGGCTCCTGGCTTCTCCTTACCAGACTGTAATGCCATCCCAGGCATTTCCAGAGCCACCTCAGATATCTCTTATCAAATGAAAAAGAAAAAGGGAAATATTTCTAAGCAATCTTTTGAGATGTAACTTGTATATATGGCTAATAGTAAGAAAAGTCATCGTGACTAGCCCTTGCAGAGCCTGTACTCAACTTGAGTATGTCATACTTTCTGAGAGTCTCAGAGAAGCCCACATTATGCTCTTACCGTGTAGTATTTTCTTCTGAGCACCCCTCTTTTCTTAACCATCTACATTAAAATATCTTCAATAAAGTCTGCAACTCTACTTCATTATACCAGCTAGTCCTGAAATTCTCTTCAGTGTCCAAGTCACAAACCCCAGTTTGGCATGAATCAAGGTCCCTGAAAGTCTAGAGGAATCCCTGCAGCTACTGAGACTAGCATTGAGGAGTTGTGTTCCTGTTCCATCTCTGACATGTGTCCAAGTTTTCTAAATTTTTCTTATAATTATGTGAAACGGTCTCACTCCACTCTTAGTAGCAAGACCATTCAAACTTGTGATTACCTTTAAAAAAACATGCATATATGTATGTCTGTATGAGTGAATACCACTTATGTGCAGGTAACCAAGGAGGCCAGAAGAAGGTGGTGGATACCCTGGAGCTGGAGGCATAGGTGGCTTTGAGTTGCCAGATGTAGATGCTGGGAACCAAAGTCAGGTCCCCTGGGAGAGTTGTAGGAATTTTCAATGGCTAAGCAATCTCTCCAACCCTTGTGTTTACCTCTTATAAATGGAAGAGATTATATTTAGACACAGAAGGAGACATAGTACCAAAGATTACAATTACTCATTGAACAGACTGTAATTTCCCATTAGACTTATTTACTCTAAAAATGGATTAATTGTACTTATCCAAAAAGAATTAACCTGGCAGCTGACATCTTTCAAAAGGCTTGTAGGGTCAGTCTGTAGCTGAAGGCTTTCAGAATGAATTCTCCACTACTAACTTGAATCAGGTCGCTTTTCTCAGTCTACATTGTTTGTATAATGTGATTTATGATAACCATTGCTTTCCTTGCAGGCATCTGGAGTTTTGATGGATGATAGGCAGAGAACATCTGTGTGACCAGCCCTTAGTATAAATCCCTCAACTTCAAGTCTCAAATGAAGTTCTATGGTCAGAAACACCCCACCCACCCCCACCACCCCCCCACATCAGTACTGGAATGAAGGTGCACTTGATATCACTGAAGGGAGTAAGGGAGCACAGAAAACCTAAAAATGGGCTTTTCCAAACTCTGCTTACATCTTGTCCATGACTGGTCACTGTGTGAATGCACACTGCATCACCGTCATAAATATTATCTGTGACTACAACCATATTTTGAATTTGACTCATGAATTACTAACATGTGGGTAGTCTTAGGTGGAACTGTCAAAACAAGGCTCTTAAGTTTATTTTTTTTTTTGTTTTGTTTTGTATTTTGAAACAAGGTTTCAATCTGTAGCTCGGGTTGGCATAAACCCATAGTGACTCACCTATCTGAACCTCCCAAGTGTTAGAATTATAGGCATGAACCATCACACCTGGCTGTGGTGGCATCTGCTACTATTCCTCCTCTTCTACCTTCTCCTCCTCTCTTTATTCTTTTTTTAGGGGGGTGGATTGAGGGGTAGAGTCTCACTGTGTAGTCCTAGTTGCCCTGAACTCAATAGTAGACAAGGCTAAGCCTCAAACTCAGAATTGTGCCTTCCTCTGCATCTTGAATGCTTGAACTAAAACCAAGTACCACCATGCCCAGTTGCATGTGCTTTTAAATTACATTTGGGGGCTGTGCATGTATGGAGGTCAGAGAACATCTTGTGGGAGTCAGTTCTCTCCTTCCACAAAGTGGGTCCTGGGAACCGAACTCACATTGTCAGGCTAGGCAGCAAGTACCTTTACTCACTAAGCCATCTCTCTCTGGCTTGATTTTACATGTACTTTTCAGCAATTAATAATAAAAAAAACTACCATAGAATGATTATGCCCTTGAGCCAACTGCTGTAAGCCTAATATTAGAGGGAATTAGCCTTTAGAACTGCTGCCATTCTGCAAATAACAGAGGGGCTGACAATTTAGCTCACCAGCTCTAAATCCCTAAACAATATTCTTACTACAACTCTCAAGTGCTTAATGATAAATATTCTCCACTGGGCAGAATGCAGAGGTTACAGCACAGGTGTTCTTATTAAAGCCAAGAAATTTTACACTCTGTCCCTTGAAGACACAGGCTGCCCATGTGCCATACAGTTGAGTATCATCAGAGACAATTTCAGGGGAAGGGAGTCATTTGTTCAGTATTCAGGCTCGAGCTGTTTACAAGTAGTAATCTTATTTGAAAGAAACACAGCTCTAACTCAGCTTGTAACAGTATGTGGCCAGCAGGACAGTCTCCTGCTTTTCAAAACTCAGCAATCCCACGGAGGTACCAGAGAGCAGCTGAGGTAAAAGTCCTTTGTAATGCTGGTGTCTGTCACTGGATTATTAGTCACCATTTTTGTGGTTTGGGGGATTTATTTATTGGGTTTTTTTGTTTGTTTGTTTTGTTTTTTGATGGGTTGGATGTTTGCTTGCTTGTTTGTTTGTTTAAGCAAGGTTTCACATAGCCCAGGCTAGCCTTGATGACTTTGATCTTCTTGGTTCCTCCTCCTAAATGCTGAGATTAAGGCATACATCATGTGGTGCTATGTGGTCAGAGGGCATCAAACCTCAGGGTTCATACATGCTAGGCAAACATTCTACAACTGAGCTACAGTTCCTAGACTTTTTTGGGGTTATTTTACTTTATTGAGGCATGGTCTTAATATGCAATCCTGGTTGGCTTGGAATGAACAGTGTATACCAGACCAGCACTGAATTTGCAGTAATCCTCTAGTCTCTGGAGTGTTAGGACTACAGGCATGTGCAACCACACCTGCCAATAATCGCCATTCTTTATTGAGATCCCTGCAATGTATCAGGTTTAGAGCACCCTCCTCTGCTGCCTGCACTTACCACTTTAGTGGAGAGCCAACTATGTTCCCAATAGCCAGGCATACATAAGGGAAGGCACCAACTTGTGACTGATGCACAACCATGGAGGGCTACAGGTTGGCTGAAATTGCAATGGGCTCCATTAAGAGGGCTTTTCTTCCCTCCAAGACTATATCTGGCTCATCTGTTTCAGGCAAATGCTTAGCTATGGAGGAGCTTCACTCAGAAATGCTAGCCTTCATGCAGGGATCAATAGCCCTCACAAAGCAGGTGGGTAGGACAGACAGACTACCCAAACCACACACATCCACTTGTTAGCTAACATTTGCAAACAGCCAAATACGTATCAGTGTACAATTTCTCTCAGCCAACCAACCTGTTCCATTGTCACCTCCTTTCCTACATGAGAATCTGGAATAATAGAGAACGTAAGGTAGCCATAAAATGTCATAGCACACATGTGATTTGGAATTCCCCATTGGAATTTTCAATCTGCAACACAAATTGTGCAGCATGCAGACCCAGGAATGTTTTCATCATATGAGATCTCTTGTGCAGAATAATAGCACACAGACAGACAATTTGGAGACTACATATGAAGCAGGGAAGAATCTGGAGAACCTTAGCCTGCTCCTTATGGTAGCCCTCAGACACAGTTGGAAAGCCACTGCCCTGACAGCAAAGAGTGATTATTAATTTGGTAAAGCAGCAGGCATGTAAGCCATGTAAAGCTGTTCTCAGATGAACACACAGAAAACCAAAGTACTAGAGCTGTGAGTCTCTGAACAACAATGCCATTATAAGGCCTGTGTAACGCAAGTTCACAGACATCCTTTGTAACAACACTCCCCGATCTCAACTATAGTCCTGCAATGGTTGCTTATGAGGGTGAGAGTCCAATCAACATGCAGCATTACTGTGAAAATCAATCACTTTTCCTAAGTCTGGAATATTCTAGGTATTTCCTTCCACATCTAAACTTGCACACATAATGCATATAATATTCTCAGAGAAGAATAAGTACAGATATAAATTCTATCCAAACTAGTATTTAAATGTAATGAAATCTCAGTCACTACCTTGATTGTAACAATTACTGTGCTAATAATCTGAGCAATACCTTCCCTCCTCTCCTGTTTTTTGTCTGTTTGTCTGTTTGTCTTGTTTTTTTATTTTAGGCTGGAGATGAAGTTCAGTAGGTAAGAGTACTTGCCTAGCATGCATGAATCTCTGGGTTTCATTCTCAGGACAGCTAAATGTGGTGACACATATATGTATCCCCAGCACTTGGAAGTTAGAGGCAGGAGGATCCAGAGTTCAAGGTCATCTTTGGCTACACAGCAAGTTCAAGAACAGTTTGGGTTATGTGAGGCCCTGTCTCTAAAAACAAAAACAAAATATATGATGTCTCACTATGTATACGAGCTTGGCCTGGAATCCATGATCCTCCTGCTTCAAACACTGGAAATACAGGTATACATCCCTTCAACTAGCAAAATATGTCTTTAAAAATTTAAATGATAATATTCCTAAAGTAGATATAGTCTTGATTTCCATTAATTCTATGGTTATGAAAAGAAAGACAAGTTTTGGTATAAGGGATTATCCACTGAAATAAAGAGAAATAAATACAAAAAACCAATTTACTTAACTTTCAAGAAAGACAAGGAAAATCAAATCCCTTACCTTATACTCTTAACTGAAAATAAAGTTCAGATACACTGTTGAATATAACTATGAAAGTGCTAGAAGAAAACACTGGGGTTATGATTTATAAGATCTTTCCACAAGAAAGACTTTAGGCATTATACTAAAGATAAAATTCAGGAAAAATAAAATACATACTTCTGTTTCAAAACTTAAATCCCATAATGATACTAAATGTTATGGAAAAGCTAAGGTGTTGGTAACCATGCATCTTGGTCAATTGCTAGGAGCATTAATTAAGCTAGTTACCTGGGAGAGAGTCTGCTCATCTGTTGCAGATGGGCATTCAGATTGCCGGTTGCTGCAAGTAAAAGACCCAGGTATGGAGGGGAAGGCTTCATCGGCCTAGAAGAAAACTCAGGATGGAACTGGACACCAATGAAATACGGATGACCTGAAATGGAAGCAAGGATGAAGTGCTTAAATCAAACAGGAATGAAAACAGCTGCCATATAATTGAATACCAACCCACACTAAGCACCAAAGTGATTATTTAACTTGCCAACAAGAGTTATTTTCATGATTCATTTTTGGAATAAAATTACAAATTGCAAAGCACATATCACTTAATTAGAGACCTAAAATTACTTTTTTTTTTTTTTTTTTTTTTTTTTTTTTGGTGGTGGTGATGGTGTTAGACAAAGAAAAGTGAAGCAGGAGCTTTTGGGTGCTAAGATGAAGACTCCTTCTTGAACATCAGCCTACTTTTCTGTTTTCTTTTGAGATAGGGTGACATGTAGCCCAGGCTACCCTTGAACTGCTCTATAGCTGAGAATGACCTTGAACTTTTTATATTCCTACCTTCACCTCCTAGGATTATAAATGTATGCTTATTCAGTGCTGGGGATTTAAGCCAGAACCTCAAGCATTCTAGGCAAACATTTTACCAACTTAGCTACATCCTGGCCCTAACCTGCTTCTGGAATGCCTTTCATTGTCATAGTATTCCTAGACTTCAAGCTACTCTCTCTCACACACACACACCTAAGGCTGGGGAAATGGCTTAGAAGATAAAAGCATTTTCTAAGCAAACATGAAAACCTGAGTTCAAATCCCCAGTATTCATGTAAGAGTTAGGCACCACTGCCCCACACCTATAATCCCAGCATAGGAGGATGAAGACAGGAGGATTTGGGGAGCTTCCTGGCCAGCCAGCCTACTGAAAAGTGGGGAGTTTCCAGTTTATTGAGAAATCCCTTCTCATGGCCATACACACACAAATTAATTGAGCATTCAATAGCTGGTATAGCAGGCTGAATAGTTTCTTCATTGGAGCAAATTCTCCAGGACAGGTCTGACCACAGAAAAATCCAATGGAGGAATACTCTATATGTATGCAGAAGTCTCCTTGAATTACACAGCTACTCAGCTATGAAAGCTTAGCACAGAGAGTGAAACCTTCTCCCTCAACAAAAGAAGAAAAGAGCTGAGTACATTGGTGCAGAGGTATAATTCTCGTGGAGGCAGGAAGATCAAGCACTCAAGGTCATCCTTAGCTACGCTTCAAGTTCAAGGCCACCATGGGCTACAGGAGACCCTGTCTCAAAGCAAAACAAATCTCAGTGTCCTCATTAGTTTTTATTGATGATGTGATATAACCTGGGAGTCACCTGGGAAAGGGGAGCCTCAAGTGAAGAACTGCCTTGATCACACTGACCTATGACCATGTTCATAAGAGATTATCTTGATTGATGAAGGAGGGCCAACCCACTGTGAGTGGCACCATCCCTGGGTAAATTGGTCTGGGTATAAAAAAATGAACATGATCTAGAGAGTAAGTCAGTAAACAGTGCTCCTCCATGCTTTCTGCTTCAGTTCCTGCCTTGTTTTCCCCCAGATGGACTGTGACCTGGAAGTATAATCCAAAATAAACCCTGTCTTCAGCAAGTTGCTTTTGGTCATACATAGTATTTATAACAACAGAAAACAAACTAGAACAGTTAAGAGTAGTGGTACAAGCCTGTGATCCCAGCATTCAGGAGGCAGAGACAGGAGTATCACCACAACTTTGAAGGCAACCTGATCTACATTGTAAATTCCAGGTAAGCCTCAGCTACATAGTAAGATCCTGTCTCAGAACAACAAACACAAAACAAAATAAACAAAAAACCAAGGGCCTTGGGAAATGGCTCAGCAGGTAAAATCACTTGCCTCCACAGAACCTGAAGTCCATCCCTGAGGCCCAACTGATGGAAGGAAAGAATCAAAAGCTATCTTCTAACCTCCATACACAAGTCGTGGCACAAGTCCCTCCTTTCAACACCACCCCCTCAAATAAGTAAATAAATGTAGTAAGTTAAAAGATAATAAACAAAAAATTTATTTTAAAAACAAAGGTTGGGTATCGACACTTAGAGAAGAAATTGAGCAATATAACTTTAAAGTAAGACACATTAAACATTATAACATAATATCTAGGGATGTCTTAGAAAGAAAAAAAAGACAGTACTTCTGTTTCTGCAGAACTACAGAGGGATGCTATGACAGAGATCATGTCATAGCCAGGGACAGACAATTTAAATGAATGGATCATTGCTTAGAACCATTTTATCCAAACAAATTCTCTGTGTGGATATGAAGAATGATGAAAGAGTTTTTATTTTGATAATGCCCTATCAGTCAAACAAAGTACCTTTAAAAATAATGCTCTTAATCACTTTTAAGCAGATTTTGACATTCTACAAATCTCAAGCCTTGTTCCTCTCAGAATCCTTGAGGGACAGTAGAGACTCGTGGATGTGCTTCTAAAGGGTACTTAAGATCAAAATCTTCTGGGGAATTTTCCTTCATAAAATGAATTCCCTTGCAGTCAGCTTTTAAAAACTGCAAGGTTTTACAGCAGCTCTCATTTCCTTCCCAGCCTTCATTAAATGTGAAGGCATCAAGGGGAATCTAAATCTCTGTGAAGAAAGTGGCCTCCCAGTATTTGATGACAATTTGATGACAAGAGAAGCAGGAGAATGAAAGGAGAGTAAATACTTGAACAAAATAAACAAACAGTTATTTGTTTAAGAAATTCTCTGCCCTCTTCTCACAAGCCAAGAGAGGTTGGTAGCCTTCAACAGCAATCAGTGATCACACTTTAATTCAACATCAAAACAACTCCTGAAACACACCATTTCTATTCTCATTCAAAACTCGACACAGTAACCAGACAATATTGGCTTACACCTATAATGCCAGCACTTGGGAAGCTGAAGCAGGAGGATTATTTCAAGTTGGAGGCTGGGCTACATAGTGTATTTTTGGACTGTTTGAGCTACTGAATGGCACCCTGTATTAAAAAAAAAAACAAATTAAACAATAATAATGATCACAAAATATACTCTAGACAGACAACCCAATGGAAATACAGAAAACTAAAATGACTTGAATGTGTGGATAGAAGAAGGCTGGGATCTGAGTTTACTCCTCACCTCCCAATGCCTAGCTCAATGGTCCTGAACATGTTATTTAACCTCTTTGCACTCCAGCTTCCTCCATAAAGGGGAATTAACAATCGCTGACTACTTTGTGAGGCACACCACAGGCACATATGGAGTCACTAACAGGTGCTTTAGGATTAAGTATCTAGTGAGCATGTCAAATGTCCATTGTTTTCTTTCAGAGTCCAGGTAAGAGGCTATTATGTTCAAGGCAGCCATCTCCAACATCAAGTCTCCTCCTAGTTTGGGATTCATCCTCCCCTACACCCCCTCCTGTTTGGTATTCTTGAAGTACTCAAATAGATTATGGAGCATCAAAAGGGGAAAAGACAGAAATGAGCATTTAAATCAGAGAATTATGACATGGGCTGAGATGGAGAAAAAGTTGCCAAATTGTAAAGAGAGTCTGGAAGTCTAAAGTAAGTAAGTTGAATAAGCAGGTTCTCCAACATCATTCTAACATTTTATTTTATGTTTTTGTGTTTATTTGTTTGATACAGGATCTCTCTGTGTAACCCTGGCTGTCCTGAAACTCACTACGTAAACCAGGCTGGCCTTGAACTCAGAGATCCAGCTACCTTTGCCTCCAGAGTGTTGCAATTAAAGACATGAGCCACCATGCCTGGCTATTAATTTGTTTGTCAATATAGTCTCCTCATGTAGCCCTGACTGGTCTGGAGCCCACTACATAACACAGGCTTCAAACTTGCAGTGATCCTCCTGCTTGACCTCCCAAATTCAGGAATTATAGGCTTGCACCACCATACCCACCCAATTCAAGCTACCATTTTGGAGTATCCAACATGTACTTCACATTCAACAAATCAGAATGGGTTCTCCAACAAATTAGCATGACTGGACTGCAAAGCCAGAGCCATGTCCATTGTGCTTAGAAAGTACTAGAGATGGGAGAACCTAGAGGCAGGGAGGACCTTGAGGACAAGTCAGACTTGAAACCATCATGAAGTGAGGCTAAGGTGGCAGGGAAAAGAAGGGCAATGTCAAACACTTTCTCTGCACTAGTAGACTCTGTGGCACTTGACAAGTGATTACAAGTTGGGGTGTGAAGGGGAGGAAGAGCTTAATAGTCCAATATCAAGTTAATCAGGTAAGTGGTGGTTCTTGAATTGCCAGTGTCTTCAGAAGGTTTTTGTTTGTTTGTTTGATTGATTGATTGGTTAATTGGTTGGTTGGTTGGGTTTGGTTTGCTTTTTCAGACAAGGTCTTTTGTAGCCCAAGTAGACATCAATGTAACTAAGGATGACCTAAGGATGAGCTCTTGCTTCTACCTTCCAAGTACCGGGATTACAAGCATGCACCATCACACCTGGCATTGAGGTACTGTGGATTAAGCCCAGGACCTTGTGCATCCTGGACAAACACTCTGTAAAGATGGTTTTGAAATACTACAACTAGGAAGCAGGTCTGATACCTAGTATACATTGACTAGAGGCCAGGGATGCTGACAAATACCACACAGCACACAGGACAGCCCAATAACAAAGAATGATCTTGCTCCAAATGTCAATGGCAGAGAGGTTAAGAAACCCCCAGGAGAGGAGACTGATGGTACATTAATATAAGTTGTCTTGAGGAAGAGTTTGGAGAGCATTTAAGTTTAGTTTGACATAAAATGAACACGCAAAGAGAACATCCAGACAAACTGATCAAGAAGAAATTTCCCAAGTGTTCAAGTTCGCCAAATGAAGTGGGTCTAGACTGGGAGATGCAAATATTTCTGTAAAAGGCTGAATAAGAAATATTTTAAGCATTGTAAGCCATGAAGTCTCTTTCCTAACTATGAATCTCTTTTACTGAAACATAAAAAGCATTGCTAGGAGTAAGGTCACTCCGACCATTCCTGCCTTTGTGTGTGAGTGATGGCATAAACTCTTGGAATTACCATGCCTGGAAGTGGGTTGTAATACCCTCATTCCTGCCAGGCATAGAAGCCCACATCTGTGATCCCAGCATCTGCGAGGTGGAGCCAAGGGCATCAGGAGTTCAAGGCAAGCCTCAGCCAGGTACTGAGTTGAAGAAAAAAAGCCTGGAATACATGAGACTGTCTCAGCAAAGCAAAACCAAAACCAACAAGGGGCAAGCTCCTCATTCCAGAAGGGCTCTGCTCTGCATCTGTGAGGGAAGAATTCGGCAGAGAGAGGCCAAGAAGAATCTGGACAGTCTTGCTGGCCCCTCAGTCTATTATACCTTATCACATTTGTTACAGTGCCTTACCACATTTCCACAAGACTGCCTATTCCTCTTCAAAACTAAGAATAAAGACTTTTCCATGGGTCTTTGGGTCTTCATTTCTGAAGGCTCCTGTGTCACATGAAACTAACTAAAATAGACTTGTTATGCTTTGTGATAGTTAATCTTGTCAACCTGACACACCTGGGAAAAGGAAACAGAAGAACTGCCTCTACCAGAGAGGTCTGTAGTCACATCTGTGGGCCACCATGTTCTTGACTGCTATCTGATGCAGGAGGGCCCAGCTCATTGTGGACAGCACCAGCCCTGGGCAGGTAGGCCTGAACTATGTAAGAAAGGTAGCTGGATGAAAGCTCTGTAGCAAGCCAGTAATCAGCATTTCTTCATGGGTGTTGCTTCAAGATCCTGCCTTGCATTCTTGCCTTGGCTTCCCTTGATGATGGACTATGACTTATAAGATGAAATAAGCCCTTTCCTCCCTAAGTTACTTTTGGTCAGTGTCTACCTTATTAATGTGTAAGAGACAGGATTTCTCTGTGTAAGCCTGTCTGACCTGGAACTCGCTCTGTAGACCAGGCTGGCCTTGAACTCACAGAGATCCACCAGCCTCTGTCTCTCCAATGCTGGGACTAAAGACATGCAACACCACCACATGGCAGTGCTACTGGTTTTGGCAGCATGAAAGCTAAACAGCTGAAAGGGTCATGGAGAGAAGATGAGGCTTGATGCCATGTGGCAAAGTTAGAATCCCAGAAGAGAAGCCAGGGAAGGCCACTTATGAAGGTTAAACCCCAGCTGCAGTAAAGATCACAGATTATTGGAGATTCCAAGACTTTGGAATAACAGCCAAGGATGGCAGCAGGTGTGGAATAAAGCCAACCTGAACCTATAACACAAGCTGTGTGCTGTAGGTGGCAGAGAAGAGAAGTGGGACTTCCCAAACCTTTTAGCACTCAGAAGATCATGAATGAGTTCCAGACTGTGGACATGGAGTTTTTTACACTGTTAAGATTCTGGTTTTCTTTGATCTGATTGTACCTGTGCCCTGGTTCGTCTCTGTTCAAACAGGAAAGTATACAATTTCTTTGCTTGTTTGTTTTTAATTTTACAAAAGGCCATAGTTAATACCTTTGCATTTTTAAAGAGCTACTTAACTTTTAAAGCATTAAAACTTTTCCAGATTTTCAGACTTTAAAATTTTGACATATATTGTGATACCAACATGAAATCTTGGATAACAAGAAAGGAAAAGTTATGGTTTAACGGTCGCATTGACAAGGGGTAGATTTATATAGATAATCTTAGTTGTCTAGTTAACACATCTGGGAAGAGGGAATTTCAGTTGAAGAATTGCCTCCATCACATTAGCATATCTGTGGAATATTTTCTTGACTATTAATTGATGTAGGGATGGCCAGCCTCTTTTGGGCCATACTATCCCTAGGCAGGTGGTACTGGGCTGTATAAGGAAGCTAGCTGGATGTGAGCCTGGGAGCAAGCCAATTAGGATCATTCCTCTGTGGTTTTACTTTAAGCTCCTGCCTCACCTTCCCTTGATGATGGAATATACATATCCTGTAAGATGCAAGTTGCTTTTGGTCCGAATGGTATATCACAACAACAGAAAAGCTATCTGGAACACGTTTTTCTCTTTTATTTATTTATTTATTTTCTCCCAGAGTTGAGGACTGAACCCAGGGCCTCCTACCACTGAGCTAAATCCCCATCCCTTGCTATCCTCTTATTAATCTTGTGTCACAGAACTGTCAGCTGTGACCTTTATGGTGAGTGAGGAAAAGGTCACATCTTTCTACCCCTACACCAATCTCCAATAAAACTATTTATGGACATAGAAACTCAAATGTCACATAATTGCATAATTATTTTTGCATGCACAAATGTTCTTTAAAATTTTTCTAATCATTTGAAAATGTGGAAAAAGTATTGGTTCATCACATACTCATGAGCGCACACACACACACACACACACACACACACACACACACACACACACACACAAAAGAAGGGGACTGGGAGATGAGAGAGGGAGGGAAGGAAGGGAGGGAGAAAGGGAGGGAGGGAGAGAGTGTGCTGACCCCTGGGCAAGAGAAAGAGTTGGGACAAGCCAGGACCTCAGGTATACCATGTCCTTGCAGGGCTGAATGAGAAGAACGCTGCCTTATATATATCTTGTCAGTAACAAACATGTGCTTTTGGGCCTATGCTTTCAGGGTCTCCTATACAATTTCTATGCTACTTGTTTATTTCCTGTAATCCAAACCTGCCTCAAACTCACTATGAGCCTAGGATGGTCTTTAAATCAAAGCAATCTCCTTGAATCTCTTCTGTGTTCTTCCTCTTCGTGGTTTGTTTTGTTTGTTTGTTTGAAGACAGAGTTTTATGTAGCATAGGCTATCCTCAATATGTATCCAAGGATAACCTTGAACTTCTGTTCTTCCTGACAGGATTACTTTAAAAGGAGTGTGCCACTGTGCCTAGGTTATACTGTGCTAGGGACAAAACCTAGGGCTTTGGGCATGCTAGGCAAGCATTCTGCCAACTGAGCTACATCTCCAGCCCCTTGTTTGGTCTTATGAAAATATCTAAGTGCAGTAATTGGTGTCTACAACTTCAGTGACTAGCCCAAGGTTGCCTTCAAGCACAAGCAGCAGAGAGAGTCAGAAGAGGAGGTGGGACACCCATCCAATAGACATCCATAATTACCACCAAGAACAAGGAGAAGAGCAAGGAGAAGGTCAGTGGACAGTAAGCTCTCTGCTTTTTGCAGAACATTTAGCTTAGAGCTGACACAGGATGAAGAGAGGGGAAATGGCAATGATGCCTACTATTTGCACAGTTGGTAGACTTGGGAAAATACAGCTATTGATGCTAAGTTCAGACTAATAGGTCCAAAATGATAAAGATTACAATCAATGTGTTTTCCTTGCTTTCTGAAGTTCTGCATATATTTTAAGGGACAGAGGAACTGGGGGAAGGGACAATGAACTAGATCCCAAATTAGTCTGTGTTTGAGTTTGACCAAAAGGTGTTAGGTCAGTATGAAACTTTCTAGAAACAAAGAATCCACTTACCTGTCAGTTCAATAATTTCCATCCTCTTCCCATCTACATCCTGACCAACAAAGCAAAGGTCTTTCTTCTCAAATTGGTTGATCATGTTAGGGTTTACCTGGAAATACAGGAAAGGCAAGCCTTTGAACTACAGAGCCGTTCAAACAGTTTATGAAGAGGTCCTGCCCCTGTGGGTGGGTTTTCCCATTGCATTGACTCTCTACTCAATTTCTACATTCAACACCCCATCTAACTTTAAATTTGTGATGAACTTGAGATAGGAAGTCCATGCTGCCTCACTCAGAGATAGAATTCAAAACGAAGAACTATGGTACTGTAAATATTCTCAGTCAGAGCCTTGAAAGCAACTACTTATAGGCATCCCTGTATCTGCCACTTCCCTGAGTCAAGTGTACTTAACAATCTGATGGTTGATCTTCATTGTCAGTCTAACTGGATTTATAATTATCGGGGAGACACACTTTTGGGCATGTGTATGAGGGTGTTAAAAAGAGTTACTACGAAGGGAATATTCATCCTGATATAAGCACCACTACCTCATGGCTAAGGGCCATGAACTGAATAAAAAGAAAAACAGAAGAAACTAAGCTGAGCACCAGCATGCATTCCTTCCTCCCTCCCTCCCCCTTCTTTTGTCCTCCCTCTTTCCTTCCTGACTGTTGACACAATGGTATCAGCCTCCTTACACTCCCCCATCATGATTTCCTTAAAATGATGGCCTATTTCTCCTTAAACCATGAACCAAAATAAATCCTAACTTAAGTTTCTTTTGTCTGTATTTTACAAAGCAACAAGAAAGTAACATACACTATCTATCCCCAAATTCTATTTTTTAAAATATGTATGTGTATAGTATGCAAGTGTATAAGCATGTTTGCATGTTCATGGATATACATGGGTATGGGTACATGTGCACAAGTGTGCATGCATGTGGAAGCCAGAGGTGGATGTTGGGTGTCTTCTTTGATAGCCTACTGAGGTGAGGCTTCCTAGGGAACCTGGAGCTTGCCCAGCTTGCCACAAGGATCCTATAGACAGGCCATCACAATTGCCCAGCATTTTTGTGGGTGCTTATGAGGCAAGCAGTTTACCCATTGAGCTATCTCTCCAGACCCCCAAATTACAAGTTTGAAGATGATTCCAATTGGGCCAAGCCAAATATGATAAACCCATTGCAGTTTGAATAAGAATGCCCCCTCATAGGCCCATATATTTGAAGGCTTAGTCATCAAGTAGTGGCATTATTTAAGGAGGTTTAGAAGGATTAGGAGGTATAACCTTGTTGGAGGAACTGCATCACTGGGGTTTAGCCTTGAGGTTTCAAAAGCTCATGCCAAGCCCAGTCTCCTTCCTTCCCTCCTGCCCTCCCTTCCTCTCTCTCTCTTTCCCCACCCCTCTGACTGGGGATCAGGATATATTTCTCAGCTACTGCTCCAGATCCATAAGTGCAGCCATGCTCCCCGCCATGATGATAACGGACTAAACATCTGAAATTGTAAACAAATCCCCAATTACATGCTTTTTTTTTTTTAAAGAGCTGCCTTGGTCATGGCGTCTCTCCACAACAATAGAACAGTGACTAAGCCACCAATTCCTCTTGGCTGATCTGAAAACTCAGGTTTAAGGCTACCAATGTTCAGAATGGCACTGGCAATGGTGCAAATTCTTCAAAGACTGACAGGTACTTGAAGTTAAGCTAATTAGGGCTGGGGATGTAGCTCAGTTGGCAGAGTCTGCCTAACACGCATGCAGCTAGCTCAATCCCAAGCATTACATAAAACTGGGCATGGTAGCACATGCCTGTTATCTTAGCACAGGGGAGGTATCATTTGTAGGATCCAGTTCAAAGTTATCCTCAAGTACATATGGAGTTCAAGACCAACCAAGGATACATGAAACTATGTCTCAAAAAATGGATTGGTGGCACAAGCCTTTAATCCCAACACCTGAGAGACAGAAGTAGGTCAATCTCTGTGAATTTGAGGCCAGCCCTCATCTACATAAGAGTTCCAGGCCAGGCAGAGTTACATAGTAAGATCTGTCTCAAAAAAAAAAAAAAAAGACAAATAAAAAGGTGACCTAATCAGACTGAAGAAAAGTTCCATGATTATAATTCAGTTGCTGCTGACAACTGGGCAAGCCAGACACACAGAAAAGGGATGCCAAGTGATCCATGTAGATAATAGAAGTGCTGGCTGTACCATGTTTCGAGTTTGACTGGGACCTGAGCTAATAAATACCCTTACTGTTCAAATTGGTTTGAATAAAGAACAAGCAGAGATTCCTATTCCTAATCCCAGAAGGACCATCCACAGCTCCACATGCCATGCTTTGCCTGTTGTAACCTCAGCAGTTAACTCCTCTTAGTCATAGGGCTCTAAGCCTCAAGCTCACTGTGAGCTTCAGAAGAGGTTCCTGAAAGTTACAATCCATCATATAAGATCCAGAAACTCATTCCTGTGCTGTAAGGTTTTGGTTCCTTGTTGAAGGAAAGCTGAGAAACAAGAGACAGAGAGGTTAAGGAGGAATGGTGAATTTGTTTTGGTCTATGATATGGGATGTCTTTCTGTATGCTGTGTATATGTTTTATTACCATTGGTTAATAAAGAAGCTGATTTGGCCAACAGCTAGGCAGAATAGAGCCAGGCTGAAAATCCAAGCAGAGATAGAGGGAGAAGTAGGGTGGAGTCAGAAGATACAGCAGCCACTGGGGTAGCAAGCCATGAGCCTCGTGGTAAATTACAGACTAATAGAAATGGGTTAATTTAGTTGTAAGAGCTAGTTAATAATAATCCTGAGCTAATAGGTCAAACAGTTTGTAATTAATATTCAGCCTCTGTGTGGTTATTCAGGAATTGGCAGGCAGGAGAGAAACATCCAGTTACAGGTCTAGAATAGTCTTTCTGCTGTGTCTGTTTATTTGCATTCAGGTTCTGTGATACTCTGCCATCATCTACTCTGTTATCACAACAGCTTTCCCTGAAAGTGAGCGATACAAGGGAAATTTAGCAGCCTTACCTACAGATATTATGATGATGGACAAGTTTCTCAAAGGGCCTACTTACATAATTGCTGGGGTTCATTGCACCAAGTATCCACATCCCTCAACAATTCAGATGAAAGGCATACCTCATACCGATGTCTGTGTCTTTCTTCTATATAAGGGACGTCACCATAAAGCTTCTCTGTGAAGACATAAGAATGAAATTAACACTGAGTGATGAACTTCAGAAGCACATCCATGGCGAGAGTGTACAGGAAACCTCTGTGATCTCTAACACAGTCATGGAAAGGAGCAGACTCCAAGGGACAAGTTGGATTTTCTTCTGGTAGAAAATCCATCAGAAATCCTCTTGCCCATATCTACCCAGTGCTAAGATTACAAGAACACACTGCCATGCACAGCTCTTTACATGCTGCTGAGGGTTGGATCTCAGATTCACTTACAAGGCAAGCACTGCACCCACTGAGCCATCTCCCAGCTCCAATATTTTTGAGGTCCTGGGGATCAAGCCCAGTGCTTTGTGCATACAAGAGAAACACTGTAACAACTAAGACACATCCCCAGAGCCACCAGCATATTTTCTTACTCTACTGTACTGGATGGTTTTATGTGTCAACCTGACACAAGCTAGAGTCATCAGAAGAAGGAGCCTCGTCTGAGGAAGCCTCCTTGAAATCCACCTGTAAGGCATTTTCTCATGTAGTGATCAGTGGGCAGGGCTCAGCCCATGGTGTGTGGTGACATCCTTGGGCTGCTGGTCCTGGGTTCTATAAGAAAGTGGGCTGAGCAAGCCATGGGAAGCAAAACAGTAAGCAGCTTCTCTCCATGACCTCTGCATCAGGTCCTGCCTCTGGGATCCTTTCCTGTTTGAGTTCCTGTACTGATTTCTTTCAGTGATGAACAGCAATGCTGAAGTGTAAGCCTAATAAATCCTTTTATCCCCAACTTGCTTTGGTGATGGTGTTTCATCGAATAATAGAAATCCTAATTAACACACCTACCGTCCACATTACTGCATATTCCACCTTAAAAATATGGTTTGACCTTAAAATTTGACTTCTGGACTAGAAGTGTAGCTGAGTGGTGGCATGCACAATTCCTGGGTTCGGGTTGGGGAGATGGCTCAGCAAATGTAAGCATTCGCCTCAAAAGCCTGACAACCCAAGTTCAGTTCCCAAAGCCCATGTTAAAAAAAAAAAGCAAAAAACAGAAAAAACAAATGTGGTGTACATCTGTAATCTGGGAGGGTGGATACAGAAGAACTGTCTGGAAGCTTTCCAGCCAGGTACTTTAAATACATAGCCCAACAACCGAAACAAGAGGCCTTTCTCAACAAAGTCAAAGGCCAGTGTGGAGTCAAAAGTTTTCTGGCCTCTGTACATACACATACACATATAATATGGGCATACAAATGTAACCATATATAAACATACACACCTGGTATGGCACATATGTACCCACATACACAAACATAAACACATACACACACTCCACAACTCTCAGAGACAGATTCTAGGTTTGATTCCCTAGTACCTCCAAAAGTTTGGTGGGAGGGGGTGTAAAATGAAGACAAGGATTTAACCACAAAGATGTTCACTGTTGTGTTATTTAATAGACAACAGATGGAAACAAGCTATGCATTAAGACCAGAAGACTGGTGGATTAAATATCACCTCATTCACCTATGCTTCTTAATCTAGAGTGTGTGGCTGCAAATCAAGCAAGGAGGCACTTAAACAGCCATGTAGCTGTACCACCATAGCTTAGAGCAGCACCTTCAGCAAGACCTTGGGCACAGCAACCTACAAGATGGATGCTCAGTGACAAGAGGACCACATGAACAGAGCCAGCTCCATCAGCAAACTCCATTCAATTGGGTTACAATACCGGAACACACTAAGAAAGCAGTGACTACCTACACATCATCAGCCCTCATGGTGCTGATCCCAGCACACACCCAAGGAACAAAAAGTGCTGGAGTTGCTGTCAAGCTCTACCAGAATCAGAAGTCATGCTCTGTTCAGCAGACAGAGTGGCTATAGGCTCTTAAAGACATCATGAAGCTGGAATAGGAAGTTTCAACTGAGAAAGACCAAATTAATGCCTTGTGGCTTCATTTGAGCTTTTGACTTAGAACAACAACAGCAAAAATTAAATGCCTCTGTGTGACTGATGATCAAAGGCAAGCTTCTATTTGCAATTCTGCCCATATGGACAGAATGTATGGTGATGAAATGAGTAATAGTGAATAGTTACCGTGTTTTAGAAGATGGGAGCTGGTGGCCCATGCCTTTAATCCAGCATTCTGGAGGCAGAGGCAGGCAAATATCTGAGTTCAAGGCCAGCCTGGTTTACAGAGGGGGACTCCAGGACAGCCAGGACAGCTAGAGCTGTTACTCAGAGAAATCCTGTCTCAAAAAATGTTTTAGAGAAAAGTAGGGAGAGTTGGGGCAAAAGGCACCTTTGAGAGAGCTCCGCCTGATGTACTGCCAAAGGGCGGTGTCATTCAGGTCACCTTTGTGATCATAAAAACCAAAGGAAAAATGGGGAGCAGCACAGTGATACACAGTTGGAAAGTAGGGAAGACTTATACCAACTCTGTGTAAACTAACAAAACTGCATGGTTTATGAACTATTATCTAGCTTAAGGCAGTCTGTATTTGCTAAGGTGTCTACCTCACAGGTGGCAGGAAGCAGGAAGGAAGAGGAGACAGAGGCTTTGAAACTTGACTGAATGGCTTTAAACCCCTTTACACCATTTAACAGATGCGTGCCCTGAGTAAATGATCTAGCCTCAATGCCTCAGTTTTCCCTATCTGTGAAATGGGAATTATTATTATCTCTACTTTATAGGGTCATTTCGTAGAGTAAATAAACTCAAGTATTAGAACAATAAAGAAATCAAATCTATAAGTGTTGTTACTTCTAGATAATGAAATAGAAACAGAAAGAAAGGATGTAGAACCTAAGTTCTTTGTGGTAAAAGACCAACAGCACACAGCAGGTAGTGATAGATCTGTGATGAACACATGAAACATGCATATATAATGCATTTCTGAAATTTTTGTTACTGATTTACTATTTATTGGTACTGAAGGTTAAACCCAAACCATTGCATCCACTAGGGAAGTGCTTTATCATTGACTGAGCTATACTGTCACTGTCACTTTTACTTTTTTTAAAAAAAAATCTTTATTTTGAGACAAGGTCTCACTAAGTTCCCTGAGTTGGCCTTAAACTTGCTCTGTAGCCCACGCAGGCTTTGAATTTGTGATTCTCCTGCCTCAGTTTCTGGAGGAGCTGGGATTGCCGGTTTGAGCCACCACATCCAGCTGTTTGGAATTTTTATTTTATGCATTAAAATTTTTCTTGATTGCTTACAAATCAATTAGAAATAACCTCAGAAAAGCGAGCCATGGTGGTGCCTTTAAACATCTATTAAGAATAAGCTTAGGGGCTGGTGAGATGACTCAGCAGTTAAGAGCACTCATACACACAAAATCCAATTTTAAAAATAGTGGCGTCAGAAATTGTACCCATAAAGTCTCACTGCATGACTGCCCAAATGTGAGCTGAACAAGGATGTCATTACAATGAGCATGTCAAACCGGATGGCGCAAAGCCCACACTGCCCAAACCCTGCAAAGAACTGAGGAGAGCTGAGAGTAGGAGAAGTGGTCTTCTCTAGGGAAGAGCACAACTTGTCCAGTGCCAGTCTGCCCTGAAAACATGCATGCAAGTAACATTGTCCACATCCAACAGGTTATATTGATTTTGTCATATAAAATCCACTTGCCCTTCCTCTGTTTTGTTTCTCACTACGCCTGACGCCCTCACCTTGGCATTTTGGTCCCCCATGACCCTTTCTTCCTACCCATGGAGTGGTCCACTGCAGTGGTTTCACTGTGCTATGCCTTACAGTTACAAGACAAGCACTTCACCAAATGAGCTATCTCTCAAGCCCTCTATCCAATATTGATTTGGCACTTGTGTGCCTCCCTTGTAGACAAAGAAACTTTTTTGTTGTTGTTGTTTATTGTTTGTCAAGATAAGGTTTCTGTGTGTGGCCCTGGCTGTTCTGGAACTCTGCAGGCTAAGCTGGCCTTGAACTCGAGTCCTGCCTCCCATGTGCTGGAGTTAAGGTGCACCGTGCCCAGCAAAGACACTTTCATAAGGAGCCCAGAGTAGGGTCTTTTCTGAGAGCCCCTGCTCCCACAAGACACTGATCCTAGCACCCCTGGGACCTTCTTTGGAGGCTATCAGCAAACAGACTTTTGGCTTTGAGGACTGTTTGAAATTTTGTTCTAGCCATTCCATATCATGTGGAGGTCAAGAGTCAGCTCACTGGCTTTCTAACAAGTGACCTGGATGACAAAGATTCGGTTCTATGTAAAATGGTCATTGGATCCTAGGGTGTGACAGGAATAGCTGAAATGCTGCACATTCAGGAGCTGAGAATAGCCACACATGCTGAGATTCCCCAGCCCCTTGGGGGTGAGGGCAGGATGCAGCATTCCAAACAAGCCTGGCCTATACAGTGGAAGGCAGCCCCCACAACCTAAGGGCTAGGGGTGTATCTCAGAGAGTAACCCTTGTCTCATATATACAAGGTTTGTTCTCTAGACCCAACACCACAAAGAAAGAAAATAAAAGTATAGAATCAGAACCGGTTCTAGCTTTCTCCCTTCCTTGCTACGTTTGAACTTTAAGGTCACTCCTTCCACTTTTATGAAACAGTTCATTAGTTTTCAATATCTAAACACAGCTTCCTTTTCCCTAATTTTATGTTTTTGTGGTTGGCTTTAATGTAATATATATGTGTGTGTGTGTGTGTGTGTGTGTGTGTGTGTGTGTGTGTGTGTGTGTGTGTATGTGTGTACATACAGGTGTTTTGCCTGCATATATATCAGGTATTTGAATGTATACCATTTGAGTCCCTGGTGCCTAAGGATACCAGAAGGGCATCTGATCTTCTGGAACTGGAGTTACAGATGACTGTAAGCCACCATATGGGTGTTGGCAATCTAACCCATGTCCTCTGAAAGAGCAGCCAGTGTTCTTAACCATCAAGCCACCCCCCCCCCAGTCCAGTGTGTCAAATTTTCAAGGATAAAGCATGTCATTCCTGCTTTTAATGTAGGGACATTGCAGTGCTTTGTTATCTTTCATGGATTTTGTTTG